TGAGATAACTTTGACATGGACGAATCTTGCTCCTTCATTTGGATGGTAACAGAATTTAGTAGATACAAAAAGAACACATGACTGAAAGGGCAAATCTCTCAAACAAACATACAGAAAACATCATAAAAAAAAGAAAAAAAATGTCAGTAAATCTCTCAAACAAACATACAGAAAACAGTAGGAAAAAAAAAGAAACAGAGCACACCACTCCAAAAAACAAACCAGGAGCATGAAAACCACTGGAAAACAAACGTCATAAGCAAAAAAACGAGCTCACCATAATAAGGAATACAAATCAAGCCTTCCGCAGCCAGAAAACACAAAATCCAATTCAAATACGGAGCAAACACAAAATGGTAGAACGTTTTCCGGTGCTTTCACTGTTTCACACGCACACAAACGAAGGTAGAAGCTGCAAAGGCCGTTTGATGAAAGAGAGAAGCAATGTCCACAAACTTGATGTTCAAAAGCCCAGGGTCAGAGTCCTTTCTCTGTTCTCTACCCTTCTTGAGAGTGGAATCCTCTTTTGCAGGGTTTTTTTTTACTATTTTGAAATTTCTGAGAGCTACATGTTTTTTTTTTTGGTGCATGAAAGGAAGCAAAATATTTAAGCTTGATCACGACACGGCCAAAGTGGCGGAGAGAGAGAATTTTTATCTTCTTTCTTACACGTGGCAGACTTCTATTGGCTCATGTTGTTAATTTCTATATCTCTCTGTGTGTGTGTTTGTGTGGAGCAGTGTTAAATTCAATTTTGTATCAAATTTTATATGAAGATTGGACTGATGATTAAGAAAGGCCTCTATGTTTAAATTCATATGGACGTGCCTTGGGCCCAATCACATTAAGTTCGGGTGAGCAAAAAATTTTTTTAGTGCGATTAAAAATAAAATTAAAAAAAAAGTGATATTCTAACGGTTTTTAACTATCTTCAAGAGATAAACTAATATTTATATAACAATTAATTAGGGAAATATTATGGTCCCGTTACGAAATCATTCCATCGGAATTTGTAACCATTAGATCATCATGTAACCGTCGAAGATAGTTGATTTAACGATTATACGGAATGTTTCCGTAAGCATTTTCCAATTAATTAATATAGTCATTCAATAAACTATGCAAGGGAGGAGCTATATATAGACCAGTGTGGGTCTAGGCCCACATTGAAAAAAAAAAAAAATTATGAATTAGGTATAGCTAGAACTCAAAAAATAACTTAATACCCTATTAAAAAATAAAAATTAATGACAATACTTACATAAGCACAAACAAAAAATAAAAAATAAAAATTAATGACAATACTTGCACAAGCACAAACAAAAAATAAAAAATAAAAAATAAAATGAAAAGAGAGAAATAATGGTGATAAGAAATTCTTGTTCTTACCAATTTTGAAACTAATTTTAACCTTTTTTTATTATTAAACTTGTAAGAAAAGTTACACACTTATTGTACTTTTTAGCACTCTTCTAGTTAATTGATTGTTGCTTCTTAATTATTAAAAAATATAACATCTACTATACTTTGTGTGTGGTTAATAACTTAAACTAGTGTGTATCCCGTGCGATGCACGTGCGAGCTTGTTTCTTAATTTTTAAAACTTTATTGTAAGAATATGTTAGCTTGATAACAGTTTATATTAATAAATACTATTTTGACATCTATATTTATTTTTGATATAGACAAAATAATACTTCACTATTATTTTTTAAAAAAAAAAATTATTGTCGTATAATGTCATTATTATTATTATTATTATTTATAACATTTATAAAATTTTAACTCTCTCTCTCTCTCTCTCTCTCTCTCTCTCTCTCTTTATATATATATATATATATATATATATTGATTAATACTTAATATACATTAATATTTAGTTATGTAACTAATTTTAAAATATTTAAACAAATTAAAAATAAATATTGTGTACATATACATTCTATTCATTTTTAAAATTTGTTTTATTTCACAATAATATTTATTTAGTTATTATTATTAACTTATCTATAGATATATTTTTGTAAAGCATGATATGTAATCATAAAGGTTTTAGTTAAAAAGTATATATTTTATTGTTGAATCTATTGTGCACAAAATAAAAATGTGAATGAGTGACATATTATTTTATTATAATTACTTATACATAGATTAAATTTTTTTTTAGAAATGTTTGAAAACTTAACTAACTGACGAAATATTTGATTTTAAAACAATATAGATATTATAATCATATAATTTATTTGTTATGTTTATGGTTTGTAATTATCCTATAATTTCAGATTCTTTCTTTTTTATTTATTAAAGTGATTCCAAATTTTTGAAAAGATTGATGGATATTTTAATTTGTATATAATAAATGTTAAAATGGTAATAGTAAAAAATTTCTCAACATCTTTAGAAAATGAAATTTAAAGGTCCAAAAAAAAGAAAAGAAAAAGACGTAATATTAGAAAAAGAAAAAAGAATATAGGAAAGAAAAAATTATCATGCTTCATAGGAAGATTTTATAATATAATACTCAGAAATTTTATTTTACTTTTATCATTGTTTATAGTTCTAAATATCTAATCTATTAATATATAATAAGGATTAACTTAATTAATTTTTAGAAACTAATTCCCGTCAAAAACATTAATTACTGTCTATAAATAGTAATTTAACATAATTTCATAAAAACACTATTAATTACTGCCCGATTAAATATGGAATGGAATAATAATCCTTAAAATATGGAATGTTTTAATAAATTCGTAGATCAAATTCTGGATAAACTCGGCAAGCCAATCATGAACAGGACGCAACAAATAAATTCGTAGATCAAATTTAATAAATATGGAATGGTTTAATAAATTCGTAGGTGAACTAATGATTTAATAAGTTCTTAGATCAAATTTAACCTTATTTGATTATTTTGTATGGAATGGTTTAAAAAATCATTTTTTTCACTCCATTAAATATGGAATAAAAGCAATTGCACATCTATATATATCTAAAAAGGATGATGGAAAAATCCTCAACA